AATCAGAAAGACGGCACCCAGACATTCGAATCAATAATTGGTACAGGTTAGCAAGTCATTCTACCGCGAGGGTTCGACAATGATCCTTCCGCAGGTTCACCTACGGAAACCTTGTTACGACTTCTCCTTCCTCTAAATGATAAGGTTCAATGGACTTCTCGCAACGTCACGGGCAGAAAACCACCCACATCACCACGATCCGAACACTTCACCGGATCATTCAATCGGTAGGAGCGACGGGCGGTGTGTACAAAGGGCAGGGACGTAGTCAACGCGAGCTGATGACTCACGCTTACTAGGAATTCCTCGTTGAAGACCAACAATTGCAATGATCTATCCCCATCACGATGAAATTTCAAAGATTACCCGAACATATCGCCCAAGGCTATACACTCATTGAATACATCAGTGTAGCGCGCGTGCGGCCCAGAACATCTTAGGGCATCACAGACCTGTTATTGCCTCAAACTTCCGCGGCCTAAGAGGCCGTAGTCCCTCTAAGAAGCTGCCCACGAAGGGATGCCTTCGCATAGCTAGTTAGCAGGCTGAGGTCTCGTTCGTTAACGGAATTAACCAGACAAATCGCTCCACCAACTAAGAACGGCCATGCACCACCACCCATAGGAAAGGCTGTGGACAGTGGCATGGAGAGGTCTGATGATGACTTGGACAAACCTAGAGACTCACCCTCTTTCTACCCTATTCTACCTGAACCTCCATCAAAGGAATTGCCTAGTTCCAGTGGGCAAAACCGAGACCCTTCTGAAGGCTTCCCTTTGAAGAAAGTTGAGGTGGGGGATGTGGTCAGAATACCGGCAGAAGGGGTTTCAAATCTTGAGGAGGAGTGGGGGTTCTGCCTTGTGGGCTGTTTCACAGGCCGGTTTCCGGGCATCAAAGCCATAGAGGGGTTGATCTCCTCATGGCATTTAGAGTGCAAGCTTTATCCTCACGAAAAAGGCTGGGTGATCTTCCAGTTTTTGAGTGATGAAGACCGTAGAAAGGTTCTCCATAATGGGCCGTACGTCCTCTATGGTAAGACCCTTTTACTGCGCATTCTTCTGGAAGGGTTTCGCTTTGATTTTGATGCATTTATGACGGTCGATGTGTGGGTTAAATATGTTGATGTGCCTTTGCAATTGTGGAATCCTGTTGCTTTCGAGTGCTTGGGGTCTAGAGTGGGAACCCCCATACGCACCGACGGAGGAACGAAAAATAAGGGAAGGTTGAGCTATTGTAGAATGTTGATTCGGGTTGACATGTCTAAGGAGCTCCCTACGTCCTTTGTGGTTTCTCTCCCTGATGGAGAAGAATTTACTCAAAAGGTTGTGTACGAAGGCCTTCCAAACTATTGCTTTCATTGTAAAAAGTTTGGCCACAACCAATTGAGTTGTAGGGTTCTCCGAGCCCTAAACCACAGAAAATCCGGGAATTATTTTGACAAGCGTGATGGAAACAACTTGGGGAAGGATGACTCGGTAAGGAAAGGGTCTGTTACTCCTGGAGTTCCTGCCACTGCCAAGCCGAGAAGAAGGAGAAGATCCAAGCGAAGGGCGGGAAGTGGACCTAAGGCCTTGGGCAGTCATGCCACGTCCACTCCTACTACGCTTCCTTCCTCAAATGACAAGAAGATGACGGCCAGGACTGTGGGAAATGGTGCCGAACCAACTGCCCAACCCGTGACCCATAAAGGGGATGGTGAGGCTTGCTCTTCCACCACCATTCCGAAGGATTCACCTGACCCTAGTGTGGTACCAAAGTCCACGGCCAAGGCTGCCATTAAGGTGGCAAAAGTGGGTGCTAAAGCTATGGGAGATGGAGTTCCAGCTTCAAACCAAAAACTACAGCAACCCAAGGAAAAGAAGAGCTTGAATGGAAAACAGCCCGGCACTGTGGGCGATGATGACCAGCTCGTTGGTACCTCCTCCACCCGTACGCATATTGAGGAAGCTGTCCAAGCAAACTCCAAGGTAGGGGCGTCCAACATAGAGAAGGGAAATAAGCCAACTGGAGCAGCCAAGAAGGCAGACGAGACTACCACAGAGAACCCACCAAAAAAGGCACCGTGGCGAATCAAGCTGGACAAGCAAAGGGAAGAGTGGCTCGATCGTCTACTCAGCCAAGCTATGGATAGAGTGGACAGATCAGACCTTGGACTACCTAAGCTTGCGCCGGCCGAACTTCGAGAGCTCATTGCCCGCAACCCTCCTTGCTTGAGGGATGCCTATGGAGCTCCGGTGGATACTTTGGAGTATATGCACTGGGAAAGAACGATGAAAATGCTTGGACGAATCAAATAGTCTTGGCTTTATCTCTTTTCTAGTACTTGTTTGACATGACTTGTCTTTGATTTATAGGGGTATGCCCCGATGCATTGTTTGTATGTCTTGTATGTACTCTTTGTATTGACTCTCGGATATTAATAATTTACATTTTATCTTTGAAAGAGCTCCTCAATGAAAGAGCTCTCAATAATCTTGAAAGAGCTCTCAATGAGGTTTCTCTCTCTAGCTGGGCGCAGCTCGTGAACAGTAGCCGCAGCCCCTTCAGATCGAGATTCCAGTTGATTTTGTGGAGTATTTTCGCTGATTCTTGATCCTACAGGTTCGTCTTCCTCGGGAGATTCTTTATCCGAGCTCAACCTGTTTGTTTGGTTATCATCTGTGCGTGAATTGAAGGTCAACTGCTGCGAGATTACTGTTCATCTCGCGAACTGGCAGCACTGATTTCGCAGGGATTAAAGCCAAATTGGAGCCTGGTTTTTGTGGAGTTCTGATCGACTTGAAGCCCTTGAAGTGTTCTTAATTGGAATTTCAGTTCCAAACATAGAATCACAGGTTGGGGTGATTAATTGAAACTCGGACCACTGTTCATCAGCAACTCTGGTTTCAATTTTTTCAGGTTCTGCGTCAGTCTCTGCTCTTTGTGTGGCCTGTTGTTTAGGTGTTTCACTACACTTGTGCTTCTTGATTTCTTCGTGTGGTGCACCCTGTACTTTGGTTTTGGCTTTTCCCTTGCTGCGTGTGTGAATTGAGGCTACTGCACTGCTGGTTTTCCTTTCCACTGCTGTTGGTTCTTTCTTTGTCATGGGGAAGAAAACCAGTAAAAAAGGTACAAAAAAACACAAACATATTACCAAGTTTGTGTTTGATGGAACACCAGTGAGTGAAGCAAGGCTTCGGTCCACTTCAGAGGCAAGCATAAGTGGTGCTACTGCTGCCAAAACTGGAGCAGTTTCTACTGCTTTGGAAGAGGGAAATGACCAGCTGGGCATTAACAAACATACCCCCATTACTTCTACTCCTTCAAAAACTGTTTTGAGGGAAAGGAAATTGAGAAATGGCAAAACCATGGTTCTTCAAGAAGCTGCGGATGACCCTGGTCCTAACCATGATGCAGAACCCACTGGACAAAAAACTTGTTTTGAGGACAACATAGGAAAGGCTGTGGACAGTGGCATGGAGAGGTCTGATGATGACTTGGACAAACCTAGAGACTCACCCTCTTTCTACCCTATTCTACCTGAACCTCCATCAAAGGAATTGCCTAGTTCCAGTGGGCAAAACCGAGACCCTTCTGAAGGCTTCCCTTTGAAGAAAGTTGAGGTGGGGGATGTGGTCAGAATACCGGCAGAAGGGGTTTCAAATCTTGAGGAGGAGTGGGGGTTCTGCCTTGTGGGCTGTTTCACAGGCCGGTTTCCGGGCATCAAAGCCAATTTCTACCCCACCATAAGGGTTGGGTGATCTTCAAATTCCTCTCTAATGAGGACAGGGACTCAGTGCTACATATGGATGATCATAGAATAAACAACAAAAAGCTGCTCCTCAACATACCACAGGATGGCTTTATGTGGAATGCTAAGTCCTTTTCAACCATGCCAGTTTGGGTCAAACTTATGGATGTGCCAATGCAATTCTGGGGGCACAATTCTTTGTCCAAAATAGCTTCAAAACTGGGAAAACCACTCTTTACTGATGGTCTCACCAACAAAGTGGCATCCAAATTCACCTTGGAGGAGGACCCTGATGACAAATTGGCTTATAAGAAGCCAAACTTTTGTAGGGTGCTCATTCATATGGATTTATCCAAACCCCCTCCCTCCTCTGTGAAGGTCAACTTTGTGGGAGGCAGCTATATGCAGCATGTGGAATATGAAGACCTGCCTCTTTACTGTTACCACTGTGAGAAGTTTGGACACACACCTTTTGACTGCTTTGATCTCCATGAAATGCAGAGAAAGGAAATTGGTGAAGAACAAAGAGCTTTGGACAAAGCTAGAATTGAAGTTATGAAAACTTCTCTCTTGGCCGATAATGACAAGGAGAAGGAGAAGCCTAAACAGAACCAGAAAGGAAAGCAGATTCTGGAAGGTACTAAAGGTGGGGAGAAACCTGCTGACCCCAATGAACCCTCACCCTCCTTCTCCAAAAAGGATGACAGTGATGGTTTCACACTTGTGGGAAAAGGAAGGGGATCCCTTACTACACATCCTCTAAAGGAAGCAAACTTCAACAATGGCAACAAACAACCACACTTCAGAAGGGAAACTAGAAGCAGTGGACGTGGACACAACCATGGAAACAAGGGGGGTACAAACAGAGGTAGGGGAAGGGGCCCTGGCCCTAACTCTTGATGAAGGTACTCTGTTGGAACTTTAGGGGGCTTAATAGGCCCTCTAAACAAAACTTTTTGTGTAAATATATTTTGGATCTTGGCGTGCATTTAAGCTGTATTTTGGAAACCAAAATGTCTGAAGCCAAGTTTAAACTTTTTATCCACAACAAACTCCCTTTCTGGTCTTCAACTGATAATTTTGCTATGATTGATGATGGGAGAATGGCTGTTATATGGAACCCACTTTTTGTTACTTGTACTCTTCTGGATGTTGGATATCAATTTATCCATTGCAGAATTTTGTGTAATGTTTCCCAGAAATGCTTCCATATTACATTTGTTTTTGCTCTATACAATGTAACTGTTAGAAGACAACTATGGGAAACAATATCTGATTTTGGTGTAAATATCAAGACCCCCTGGGCCATTATGGGGGATTTTAACTCAGTTCTGAACTCCAGTGAGAAATTAAACTGCCACACCTATGCTTATGATATGACTGATCTGCTGCACTTTAGGCTCAATAATGATTTGATTGATGCCAAGTCTACTGGTACTCACTTCACTTGGAACAAAGGGAACAAATGGGCCAAATTGGATAGGGTAATGGTGAACTGTGAATGGGAGGCTCTACAGTGGGATTGTTGGGCTGCATTTAAGCCCATGGAGTTCCAATCTGACCACTGTCCTGTTCTGCTCCACCTCATCCAATCTTCCACCAGAGGCCCTAAACCCTTCAAATTCTTCAACATGTGGCTTAAACATGATTCCTTTGATAATACCTTGAAGCATGTATGGGACATGAGGATTAATGGTACTAGACAGTTTAGACTCTGCAGAAAACTTAAGTTGCTGAAACATCCTCTCAAACATTTGAACAACAAGGATTTTGCACATATCTCTTCCAGGGCTGAGGAGGCTAGAAAATCCTATACTAATCTCATGGATAAGCTTTACAAGGACCCTGATAACTTGGAGCTACTCCAGCTTGTTGCCATTACCAGGAAGAAAGCCTCTTTCTACTCTGATGCAGAAAGATCCTTTTTTCAACAAAAGGTGAAGTGTAACTTTATTAATGAAGGGGATAAATGCACAAAATTCTTCCATGCAATGGTGAAGAAGCAAAGTATGTTGAATGCCATCCCTGTTTTGATTACATCCCAAGGTACTACTACTACTTCTTTGGAGGCTATTGTTGAGGAATTCATTGGCTACTACAGGCAGATTTTTGGTAATACAGTACCTACTAGCCTAGTGGATTGGAATGTCTTTAAAGAGGGCCCCCTGATCCAACACCAGGATGCAACTGAGTTGGTGAGAAATGTGGATAGAACTGAAGTCAAAGAAGCCCTATTCAGCATTGGTGATGATAAGGCCCCAGGCCCTGATGGTTATACAGCTGCCTTCTTCAAGAAGAAATGGGATATTGTTGGTGATACTGTTTTTGATGCTGTTTCTGAGTTCTTTTTGAGTGGGAGACTCCTTAAGCAGATTAACCATGCCTTGGTTGTCCTCATTCCCAAGATCAGGGAGAACCCTAGTGCCAAAGATTATAGACCCATAGCCTGTTCTAATGTGGTCTATAAAATAATCACTAAAATCCTTTCCAACAGAATGGCTGGACTGCTTCCTAGCCTCATTAATCCTGCCCAGGCTG